TCTGCCAGGGAAAGTTGTTTCACACATATCTCCAGTCCTCAAACTGTTTATTCAAGGGAAGAAAAGCAAATACGCTAACTAAATGATTCATCTTTGTATCATATGACTGTCCTTCTGCGCTCACCCATTGCCAGCTGAAGCTCATCTGGTCATAAGACATTGCCCTGTGGGTATCACTTCCTGAGGAATGGCAGGGTCAAAACAGACAATACACGCCCACCTGCCCCCAGTAAGTGCATACTCATAGAAGAAACTGGTCCAATCTCAACTGGCCGATCTTTAGGCCAGTTCCTTTAAAAAGTCTTATAGAGATTTGAGAAGGCAAGAAAAATGCAGAACTCTTATCCACGCTACAAAAAGAATCAATTTATTCTTTTTTTTTCAAAGTTTTATTGATAAACAGCAATAAGACAGTTTCAAATCAAATCGGAAGTACAGTTTCAACAAATAATACACTGCATATATTCTTCTTAGTCAATTTATTCTTTTTTTTTCAAAGTTTTATTGATAAACAGCAATAAGACAGTTTCAAATCAAATCGGAAGTACAGTTTCAACAAATAATACACTGCATATATTCTTCTTAGTCAATTTATTCTTAAAAACAAACTTATTTATTGAGAAAAGTATATATTCACACCCTAAGTCTCCATAATTACTTTCATATCCAAAGTGGTTAGCAAGAGGAGTCAGCAGTCTCCTTTTCTATTTTGTTTTGTCTTGGTTTTTGGTTTTTTGAGACAGGGTCTCACCACACAGTTCAGACTGGCCTTGAATGCACTACGTGGCCCGGGCTGCCTCAAACTTGCAGCAATCTTCCTGTCTCACCTCCCGAGCCCTGAAACTACAAGTGTGTGCCACCAGCTCAGCAGCGGTCTGTTGCTGTGTCCACTCGCCTGCCTGCAACCCCAGCCTCCGGACAAAGCAGCAGCACCAAATCAGCCTCCTGATTCAGAGTACAACTGGCGAGTCCCCTGCAACCTCTGGATCCTGTAGGACAACCAGAAGAGCATCTCAGAGCTGGACGGTGAGACGGGGCACAGCGTGGAGTTCAGCAATCTGGTACTCTAAAAAATGAGACAGTGCCGAGACAGGAGGCTCGGCTCACTATGAGTCCAAGCTGCATAGTAAGACCCTGTACCAACCAAATAAATAAATAAATAAATGAGTAAAAAGCCAGACCAAGACATTTTTGCTACAGTAAGCAGGGGCTAAAAAATATCAGGGCTAAGGCTTAAATATTCCCACTTCAGGAAAGCAGAACTTGGAGGCCAAGACTGCAGCCAAACATCATTTACAGACTGACTTCTCATACTTCTCAACTTCTTTCCATTATAAGGAGAATCAGCATTTCATTGAGTCTTTAAAGGCATTAAAAATTACGGTTATCTCCGTCATACAGGAGTTGCATTAAAGAATACTGCGTGGACTAGATAAATGAGGGAATGGGAAGGTAGGCAAAATGGAGGAACGGAAGGGCATTCGGAGCCCCACGCCCTTCATGACGAAACGTAGGCCCAGCTCAACCCAATCCCCTGAACATTTGCCAGGACCTAACTTCTACCACACAGTGCGCCAGCACCCAGTGGGCTTCCTGGCCAGGGACATAAAACAGCCTCTGGCCAAATTCCCAAAGCTAATGTTCACGTCATAAGCGCAACTATGTTACTGAGTAATCAAGAATATTCTCCTCGTTCATAAAGAACTCCAAAACGACTCAAATTAGAAACACAACTACCAGCATTCAGCTGAGAAAGAAAACGGCAGCTTCATTTTTCTCATTATCCTTTCTCTTCTTCAATAGACTGTCAATTCCTTTATTAAATCTGGGAGAACATTTCAGTTTGGTGCCAATATTTTAAGACACTTTTCCTTAACACCCACCCGCTAATCTTTGTTTCATAAAAGGGCCAAAGTAGATAGCTTTAGTAGTAGCAGTCCATGGTGCTGGGGATGAAAACAACTGCACAAGGAAGCAAAAGGCTCCTCCCTGGGTGGTGTCAGGATCCACAATCAATTACGGAACCTAAGCGCTTCCCCTATCTGTGCAGTACTGAGGAGGAGGAGGAGGAGGAGGAGGAGGAGGTTATTATGCTACGGAAAAGGTCCTGGAGCTGGAGCAGTGGCAAACCTGTAGCCTCAGCTTCCAGCAAAGCTGCCCCAAGAAGACTGCTCCAACGCCGAAGTTTGAGACCAGCCTGGGCACCGCAGCAAGAAGGGGGGTAGTTTCTCTAGGAATCGTAATTTAAGATAATGTAAGTGTACCACTCACATTGCACAGTGAAATAGACAGGCAAGATCTTTAATAATTTTTTTAAGTTTCATATATAAAGTGGGTGGTTCTCAAACTTTTTTGATCTCAAGATTCCCTTTAAGTCTTAAAAATTGTTAAAAATCCAGAAAGCTTTTGTTTCTGTGGGTAAAAGCTATATTTGTGGTTCTGCTTTAAGAGGTAATAAACACAGATAAGTAAAAAAAAAAAAAAAAGGGGGGGGGGCAGCCAAACACTGCAAGCTAGCACAGGGACCGGGTTCCATCCCTGGGCCTGCCATGCTGGCCCCGCCCCCGGGTGAGCCTGGGCGCGGTGGCGCGTGCCTGTAATCCCAGCTCTTGGGAGGCTGTAAACAGGAGAATCACTATGAGTCTGATCTAGTAGTGAGACCCTGAACACCCCGTAGACCCTTTCCCTAAAATACAGAAATAAATAAATAAATAAACTATATTTGTGGTATTCAAAATTAAAAGTGAAATGTTAGAACTATTTAATTCACTTAATAATAAAAATAAATTCATTACATAATTAATATAAATAAAATGTTTTTATGAAAACTTTTCAAAAACATTTTGGTATCATTTCACATTTTTGCAACTGCCTTTGATGTCAGGCTTCACAGAGGACAACGGCTTTCTCACATCTTCCTTAATATTCAGTCTGTTTCAAAATCACACAGCACGTGATCTCCGGAAATCTCCACTGTATATTAATAAGGAAATGAGAGTGAAATAAGCAAATAAATTCTTAAAATTATTATGAAAATATTTTTTACTTCTAGATCCCCCCAAAAGAAACTTGTAGGGGTCCCTGGGCCACCCTGCAAGAAATGCTGTATTCCATATTATAGAATGTTGGGAAAAAGCAGTGCCTGGTAGCTATATAGGTAGAAAAAACTCATTTACACATAAACGCTTACAAAAGGAAAGAACGTACTACTCTAAATATATTAAACTCCAAAAAAAGATGGGGCCCAAACACTCAAAATGTAGTGAACGAGATTTTGACTGTATTTCTTTTCCCACCCCACCGCCGTCCGATCTGCCTTACCTTTTACACCCTGCAGCCTGGGACAACGCCTTGTAGCAGGCGGGAGCTTAATGCTTTAAATCTCCAGGCCTATGTCTGTCTAGAATGCCCGGACTTGTTCTGTTTCACCAGAAAAAATTTTCATAAAAGAATTCTACTATGAGATTTTTATTTGGCGATGGCCACCAGGGTGGTCCTCAACTAAGTGGAAAGTTGTAAGAGCTTCTTAGAGGGTAGAGGGAGTTGGAAGAAGTATGTTCAATATTATAACAATTTTGGGGGGCCGGGGAGATGGCTCAGTAGAATAAGTGCTTCCCTGGCACGCGCAAGGGTCTGAGTTCAATCCCTGGTCCCGCAAAAAAAAAAAAAAATTTGGGCAGAGGATATAATTCAGCTGCATAAGCACCTGCCTAGCTAAGTGCAAAATACTGAGTTTGATTCCCAGTGTGCCAAAAAAGAAAAATTGTAACAATTTTATGTTACAAAAACTGTTGGGGGATAAAGTATATTTAAAAGGTTGAAAACCGCTGGGAAGAGGCCAAGTTCAGAGAATAAGTGGGCATTTCGCCCCCAGGACTAGGGATTACACGGCTTCCGCACTGAATCATAGCCCTCAACTCCCCATCATCACTGCCATATTTTCTTACAATTTTGAGACGGAGGTGGCTAAAGCACTAAGGTGCTTGGGGCTGGTGAGGTGGCTCAGTGGTCTAAAGCACCTACTTAGAACAAGCTCAACAAAGCACAGGGACCGCGGTTCAATCCCCCAGCACCACAAGCCAGCCAGCCCCACCCCCTGGTGGGCTGAGCTGGCCACACACACACACAAATAAATAAATAAATAAATAAATAAATAATTAAAAAAAAAAAAAGCACTAAGGTGCCCAGGCAGGGCTCAAACCTGTAATTCTCCAGCCTCCCAAAGTTCTAGGATCTCTGGCCTGAGTGCCGCCAGGCCAGCTGTGGGCAGTGTCCTTACAAACTCTGTCACTGATACTATGACGCAATAACAACACTACTAAATTAGATGCTACTCTCCATGATTATGAAAGCATCTTCTCAAAATCACACTACTTTTGTCCTGTTCAATGTCACACATCCAAGAAAGCCTAACCCAGAGGCCAGGGATATAGCTTAGTAGCATAAGCACCTGCCTGGCAAGCACAAGGTCCCATGTTCAATCCCTGGTACCAAAAATAAAAAATAAAAAACCCCAAAACAACAACAAAAACAAATAAGAAAACCTAATCCGGAGATCAATAGATTTATAATTCAAAAATAGCAAAACAAAAAACTATGAATGAGCTTCCATTAAGCCCCAGAACTATGTGAGAGTCCTTCACATATGATTGCTCTTGTAGAAAACAGTTTATTTAGCTTACAAGTAAGGCATCTAGCTAGGAGAAGGGGACCTGAGACAGGGGGACCAGCCATACTCACAAGAATCAAAAGAAGGGCCTGCTTCGACAAGCACACCTGGGCTCAATGCTGGTACTCATGCCCTGCCCGCCCCCGCCCAGGGCTCACTGAGCCGGCTGCTGAGACCTGGTACGGTGACGCACTCCTGTAATTTCAGCACTGGGGAGGCTGAAAACAGGAGGATCAGTACGAGTCCAAGCTGCATACTGAGACTGTGTACCAAATACATTTAAAAAAAAAAATTTTAAACATGACTTTTCTTCAGGCAATACAGAATGCAGCCCCCACTCCCCACTAAAGGAAGTTGCAGCCACTCTCTGCTAAGCTCTTGAGTTCTGAGAAAATTAAAATGCAAAAACCAGATTTGCTTTAAAATCTGTTTCTGTAAAGGAAACAATCAAATTAGTCATTTTAAAGCTGCAGAGCCACCAGTGATAGCCCCTAAACAACTGAGCAATTCCTGTGCTCTGCTTATCTATATAGTAATTAATACTGGACTGAGAGATCATGTGGCCACCAACTCAAAACTCCTCCTGGAAATCCAGGAGCTGCTCTTATTTCAAATAAAATCCCCGTAACCTCATCCCTTGGTTCATACTTCATTCTTCGAGTTTATGGAACCGGCAGCTTGGCACACACAGTAATATCATCTCACTTAATCCTCTTAGAACTAGTAGGTAGCATGCTACTCTGTGATTCCTGCCAATATGAATGTGCTATTACTGGCCACATGAAAGAGAAAATGCAGAAGGAAGGGAGGGAGCAAGGGAGGGAGGAGGGGAGGAGAGATAGAGGGAAGGAGGAAGGGAGGGTGGGAGGGAGGGAGAGAGAGAGAGTCAGCCTGTAATTAAGTAAACTGAAGACCTGAAATACAAGAGTGTAAATGAACAAGGGAAATGTGAGCTCGCTTCACTATGACTTTTTAAAGGTGCTTAGAGGACTGGACCAATGGCCTCTGCAGTGAACCATGCGCCCAGCCCTTTCGGACTTTACACTGTAAGACAGCCTCGCTAAGTTGACCAGGCTGGTCTCGAACTATACATCCTCCAGCCTAAACTTCCCAAAGACGTGTAATTACAGCCTTGTGCCACCACGCCTGGATTCCACCATGACTTCTAATCTGGCACTTTCCAGCTCCAGGCCCTCAACTGCTCATCCTGTGGCAGATCCATCCTAAATGAGAACATGGAATAATCTTTTGAAATGAGTTTCAAAAGTAGCTACCACAGAAAGTGCTGGTTCTCCCAGTCCTTTTCCCCTTCTTCCCTGGACACCAGATTTCTGGCTTTTAGCTGAGCCAGAGAAAAATTACAGTTCCTAAACACTACTGCAGCTAACTTTTAGACATGGGGATGTAGGTGGGAAAGTCTGGTGCAACTTCTTGGAAAGGCCCTACAGGATGTGGGCATAAGCCGTCTTCTCTTTTTCCTTCTTTCAACTGACTGAAAAAAGCAGACAAGATGCCCATAGCTTAAACAGCCATGCTGAAGAGCATGAAGTAGAAGCCACACACTAATGACAGCTAAATACTGCATGGAAGGAACCTGCACCCAAGAAAAACTGAAAGGCCACATCAGCCCAGACAGCTTTTGACTTCCTTTACATGAGACAAATGAACCTGTTCTCAAGTCATTATTATTTTAAATTATCTGTCACATAGTCAATTTTATTTTATTTTACTTCAGAGACAGGGTCTCAGGATGGCCTTGAACTCACTATATAGTCTAGGGTAGCCTCCAGCTTGTGGTGGTCCTCCTGCCTCAGTCTCCCAAGTGCTGGGATTACAGGCACCCAATACCATAGTCAATACAGTCGCTAAGAACAGAATCTAGAAATTCAAATGACTGCCTAACTCTGAAACAGCAGAGTGCTGTAGCTAGGACCATGACCTCCAGAGCCAACACGCCTAGTTCTACCGCTTACTACTACCTCCAAGAGCCTGGACAAATGAGTCATACTGTGTGCTTCTGTGGTGTCACCTAAGAAGACAGAAATAGTACCCACCTCTGAGAAAGGTTAAGAGTTACTACTTGTAAAGCATCTGGCATATAGTAAGTGTTGTGTGTATGTATCTGTTAAATAAAATAAATACACTTAGAGCAGGGTCAAAAACAGTAGTACCAACCACTGTGAGCACGCAGGCCATACTAATCCTCTACACCTTTAGGACTGTCCACAGTGGGGACAGGAATAAGCTTGGGTGAGCCATGCATGTTTCAACTCCCCTTTAACAAAGAATAGTAGATAGTACAATTCAGAGACCCAGCTACTGAATATCACCAAAAACTGTCATTCTCTGTGTATATACGGAAGTGGTGGCACTCTACCCGCCAGGGAGACTGAGAGATCCTATTACTCTCACCTGTCAGAGCACTAGATCAATTCTCAACTGACCTGACACACTTCCAAGGATGCTATAACAGTGTCATGAAAGAAAAAAAAGCCTCCCTCCTCCTCCTGAACCTATCAAAGATAACCTTAGTCCTTTCTTATATTGGCCAACAAGCTCATATCTTGATTCAATCTCATTCTGTTCTCAAAAAAGATGAAAATGGGCTGGGGAGATAGCTTGGCAGTCTAAGGGCCTGCCTGGCAAGCAAAAGGACCAGGTTCAATCCCCAGTACATGCCGGCCCTGGAACCCTGGGCATGTTATGCCCACCAGAAACTGGGCATAGCGGCACAGGCCTATAATCCCAGGGCTGGGGAGGGTGAGAGAGGAGGATCACTGAGTCTGAGCTGAGTAGCAAGACCCTATACCAAATAAATAATTTTTAAAAAGATAAAAAGCATTTGACTGACATTTAAAATGCAACGCCTGGGGCTGGAGAGATGGCTCAGTGGTCTAAAGCACCTACTTGGAACAAGTTTGGCAAAGCACAGGGACCATGGTTCAATCCCCCAGCACCACATGCCAGCCAGCCCCGCCCCCTGGTGGGCTGAGCTGGCCACACACACACACACACACACACACACACACTAAATAAATAAATAAATGTTAAAAAAAAAAAAATACAATGCCTTAAGCGCAAGGGCCTGAGTTCAATCCCCGGTTCCGCCAAAAAAATAAATAAAATAAAATAAAATGCCTTTCTCTCTGGTTCTACAAAAAAAAAAAAAGAAAGAAATATAAAATACAATGCTTTTCTTTGCTTCTAGAAATGATGGGTTTCTTTGTACTTTAAAACTCCTTTACTTGCAATCTTGGAAAGAATTACTCTCAAACCTTTCTCAACCCAGTTTACGTAAACAGAATGGACGGGAGAAATGCCGAGTCAGGTGTGATGGAGCACCCCTGGGATCCCAACACTGAGAAGGCTAAGAGGCAGGAGAATTAGTTCAAGGCCAGCCTTTGCTACATACTGTGTTCAACTAACTGCTTGAAATACACGGTGGGATGCTGCCTCAAAAAAACTAGAAAGAAAATCCTAGAAATGTTCTCTGGTTGTGTCTATTGATTTTTGCAGTACTGGGGATTGGGCACTAGCCCTCACTGAGCTACATCACACCTTGCTCATCACCATCATGTTAATAAGTATGATAATAATGTAGTTTTTCTATGAACCATTTCCACCACATCTGAAAACTTAGCCTGGGATATAGCTCAGTGGCACAGAGCCTGCCTGGTAAGAGCAAGATTCTGAGTTCAATTCCTGATACCAGAAGAAAAAGAAAGAAAGAAGGAAAGAAAGAAAGAAAAAAAAAAAAAAACAGTTAATGAAAACTTCATCTTTTAGTTTGTTTTTGTTTTCTGAGATAGAGTCTTGCTATTCAGTTCAGGCTGGTCTTGAACTGACTGTATAGCCTAGGTTGCCTTGAAGCCACTGCAGTCCTCCTGCCTCAGCCTTCCAAGTGCTGGAATTTCAGGCATTACCATCATGCCCAGACCATATTTCATATTTCTTGACCCTCTGCTCTTATAATCATCTTTTTTTTTTTTTTTTTTTCCTGCAGTACCAGGGATAGAACTCAGGACCTTAAGCTTGCCAGGCAGGTGCTTATGCCACTGAGCTCTATCCCTGGCCCTATACAATCATATCTTTAGTGGGTCAAAAGCAACCTTCTGCAATTCTCAAAATTGGTCACTTCTGCCTCTCTCGTCATTCCATATCCTATCTTATCCTTATCTCCCTATACACACTCAAGGAGGGGCCAGGGAGATGGCTCATCGGAATAAGAAAAGTGCCTGCCTGGGAAGCAAGGTCCTGGCAAAGTCCTGAAGGTCTTGAGTTCAATTGCGGGTATCAAAACAAAACAAATCTTCAAGGAGGAAGGAGGTCAGTAAAATTCCACCTTAGTTGAAAAACAAGATGCTGATAGTGGAGGGAGATGGTTCTATGAAAGACAACAGCCTGTGCTTCTAAAAGTCTGCATTCTACAAAGGCAGGGAAAATGACTTGAACCTTTTCCCAAGAGTGGGCAATAACCAGAACAGATGAAACTGCGAGTCCACCCACGCTGTCACCACGGCCGGTCAATAAGAAACCTAGGACCTAGGCAGGAGACACCCCCACAGGAGGCTGGACCTGAATCCTCAGATGGGTCAGCCATCCTCCAGAACAGCGATGCGCAACGTGGGTCTAAAAAGAGAGAATAGACTGAAAGCCTCAAATCTGTATGTAGGCTAATGGCCACAGAGTAATACCAGTAGTTTAAAGCTGAGGAACCTACCAGAAAGCGATCTGTCCAGAGGCAGATCGCCTCACCCCAGCTGGCCCCGGGCCTGTATCTGGTCAATTTCCTCTTTTCATTTTCCGCCTAAGCCTCCCCCACCAAAAGGGTTCTGATTTATTTCTTCACTCCACAGCTTCCCCTCTCATCCCCAAATCCTGCTAAGAACCGGCCCTGTGAAGTTTTCATCTTCTGCACCTTGCAGTCCACCCACGCCGCCCCGCGCCCGGATCTCACACCCGCGCTCACCCCCTGAAGGTCCTTGACGAAGTAGCTTCCGCTGGAGCCCTGGTAGATGCGCTCGGGGAAGATGCAGCGCTCGATGGCCACCTCTGCCTGCCGCACCACCGCCTCGAACTCCGGATCCTCGGGGAACTCGTTCCGCTCGCGGGAGGCCTGCGCGGCGTGCACTGCCGCCGCAGCCTGGGCGGCCAGCGCTTGGGCCTGGGCTGCCACAGTGTGGGTCTGGCCCTGGGCCGCCGCGCCCCTGGCCCGGTCCAGCAGCGGCTGCCGCTCGCGGTCGTGGCCCGGAGAGCCCGGCGGAGAGGGGCCGGAGCCGGCCGCCGCCGCCACGCGGACTGCGCCCCCCGGAACCTGCGGGAAGTGAACGCCGGAGCCCGACGGGAAGGTGTACTCTGGGGGTTGGGCCCGCTCGGGGGACACTAGTGGGCTCGTCTCGTCCATCCCTGAGGCCGCCGGCTTGGGGACCCGGCGAGCTACACAGCAGAGCTGGCGGCCGGAACCAATCCGCGGCACCCCCCACCTCCCACCCAGCCAACCAGGCAGCGCGTCTCCTTGGCCCCGCCCCTAGCCTGTCCTGTTTACTAGGCGACGAGTAGGCACGGCCCCTCTCGCGTGAACAGTAGCCAATCAGAACCCGCCCTACGCAATCGCGGCCTCCGCTCTTGCCTCCCGTCACCTTCTACGGAGACTGCGCATGCTCTCAAACTAACCCGGAGTCAGGCACGCCCTCTGCCCCTAACCAGCTCCGCTCCGCCCCTAACTTGCAATTGGCTGACAGGTCCCGGGCGCCTGCAAAACCGCAACGCGAGAATTGAGCGCCTACTATGAGCCGGCCGTGAAGCTGGAAGAAAGCGCGTCTTTGTATCGTTTACCTGCTGTGTTCTAAATGCTAGAGACAGCAGTGAAACAAGTAACCTTCTGGGTTTATAAATAAATAAATATAAATAAACAGCCCTCTTGTAGCACACATACAAGTTGGCCCAGTTGTTCAATGCGTGTTAATTGAGGTAAGGCACGTTCCCGCGAGATGCAAGGTAGGCATCCACGACATTATACACCACTATAAAAGTTTCGCGTCTAAACACAGTAAAATGCTCAGTACATTTTTTAATGGTGGAAAAGAGTACAGATATATAACCCTGCTCTCCAGCTGAGGGCCCAGCTTGGTGAGACAGAATGAGAGAAAGCCAACCATGCTGCCTAAAACTCCCTGATGGGGGTTCACCGCTTTAGGAGAGTCAACGAAGGCGTCACCGGGGCCTGTGCCATGAGTTACGGAGCAAATGAAATGTGTAATTAAACACGGAGGAAAGGGGCACGAGAAAGGCGCGTGACGCAGAAAGGGCTGCTGGAGGAAAGGAAAAGGAAGGATAGAACTGGAGGAGGCAGGCAGCCACCTGCCCGGCTGGCGGAAGCGGCGTTAGGTCGGGCTCCCTGGAACTGGAGCGCCAACCTGAGGGCGTCCGGCCTGTGAAGGGCCACCGGGAGCTTTGGAGAACACTCGTGGAGCAGGGAGGTGATGCGGTGTCAACCTACTCCCAGCCCAGGCACCTCGGAGAAACACGGATAAAAATGGGTGGCACTGAAGGAGGGTGCATGGTTAGTTGAAATAATTAAAATGCACACTTTTTTTTTTTTGGAGGATGAGATTCAGGGCCTCACTGAACACTACCTTCTAAAGTGTAGGGCATATTAGTTAAAACATGGGCTTGGAAATCAGAGAGATTTGAGTTTGAATTTCAGCTCTACAATTGTTATTTTAGAGTTCCTTAATCTCTCAAGGCTTCAGTTTTCTTACCAATAAAATAGGAAGAAGCATCCCTAACTCACTTGATTAAATAAAAATCTATATGTAAAGCAGGTAGCATAGTACTTAATGCATAAAAAAATTCAACGATTATTAGCCTTTTATCACTGCCAAAGGGTTTTGTTTTGTTCTGTTGAGACAGGGTCTCCCTATGCAATCCAGGCTGGCTTTGAGCTCACTGGCTACCCAGGCTGGGCCCAAACTTTCAGTGATCCTCCTGCCTTGGGCTCCTGAATGGTGGCACCACAGGAGCACACCACCACACCCAGGGAGGTTATTGTTAATGTTGGTTTTGTTCTTGAAGTGCCCAGCAGACTAGAGGTACGAGTTTTCCCAAAAGATGACCAGTCAACAATATTTCACAATCATTTTTTTTTTAATTTTATTTATGTGTGTGTGTGTGTGTGTGGCCAGCTCAGCCTACCAGGGGGCGGGGCTGGCTGGCATCTGGTGCTGGGGATTGAACCGCGGTCCCTGTGCTTTGCTAAGCTTGTTCTAAGTAGGTGCTTTAGACCACTGAGCCATCTCACCAGCCCCCACAATCATTTTTTTCTGAAGTCAAATTATTGTCACAACTAACTGGGAATATTAAATTCAAAGAACTACTGTTCCTTGTATGGGGATGTCAAACTTTCCAACCAAATAAACAATTATAGGCAAAAGTCCATATTGCCTTTGTTTGAGACAGGATCTTGCTGTGTAGCCAGGCTGGGCTTTTGAGTGCTGGGGATAGAAGTGTGCACACCGTGCTGGCTTCAGTAGCTCCTTTCGGTTACAACACACACATTCCATTTTCCTGCTCAGTCATCAAATAACCAAGTGATGCCTTCCCTCTTCTGTCGTACGGGCCACAGCCACAGACATGATTTCTTGACATCCTTCATATTATGTATGCTTATCCTATGAGCTTCAAATTACGATTACGACCAGTGAAAGCCACCAGATTTGGAATTCACCCTGGAATTCTGAGGTTTTTCTCTACTGGAAACTCCCTCAGAATTTTAGTCTGTACCTTAGAACTTTATTTTCCTTTTACTGGAAAGAAAGTCACTGCATTGCCTATTACATATGAAGAGACAGAACTTACTAACCGCTGAGACTATGACAGGCATTGTTTTCAGTGCGTTAACTCATGTAACTGGCATTACAGTTCCTACAATCCTGAAAACTGGGGCTGGTGAGATGGCTCAGTGGTCTAAAGCACCTACTTAGAACAAGCTTAGCAAAGCACAGGGACCGCGGTTCAATCCCCCAGCACCACATGCCAGCCAGCCCCGCCCCCTGGTGGGCTGAGCTGGCCACACTCACACACACACACACACACACACACACACACACATAAATAAATAAATTTAAAAAAAATATACTGAAAACTGAGGCCTAGAGATGTAAAATAACTTACCCATAGTCATTCAGCGGCTAAGTAGCAGTGAAGTTTTGACAAATTGGCTCCATCCTTTCAAAACTATAGTATATTGCTTCTTATTAAATATTCCAATGAAATGTCTCACAATCACCCCTTTCTTTCATCTCCACTGATGCCACACCAATTTGGAGTTTCTCTGCTTCCAGTCTCTTCAAACAACTGTGGGTTAAGTGCCAGATTAACGTTCTCAAAATATGTTTTCATAATGTCATTCCTAGACAAGAAACTACATGGTGGGGGCTCCCACTGGGGATTGAAGCTCTACCACTGAGTTACATCCCCAGCTCTATTTATTTATGTATTTATTTGCTAACTAACTTACATAAAGACAGAGTCTAAGTTGCCCAAGCTAAGTATCACATCTATGATTCTCATGCCTCAGCCTCCTAAATAGCTGGAATTATCCCTCTGCACAGCAGAAAGTACTTTTTATTACTATAAAATATATATAATTTATCACTAGCTATTCATAAGCATACACTTCAACAAATATATTCATAATGTTGTAGAGCCACTTGACCCAAAACATTTTCATTATTCCCAAGAAATTTGTATCCATTAAGCAATAAGTCAGGAACTTCCTCCTTTCTGCCCACAACACCTGGTGGCCTCTCTTCCACTTTCTGTCACTATCACTTTGCCTATCCTTTTAGGAACTACTTTGTGTGTGTGGTTTTTTTTTTTTTTTTGCAGAACCGGGGATTGAACTCAGGCCCTTGCGCTTGCCAGGGAAGCGCTTATTCCACTGAGCCATCTCCCCGGCCCCTGTGTGTGTTTTTGAGGCAGTGTTTCACTATGCAGTTAAGGATGGCTTAGAACTTACTTTGTGGCCCAGGCTAGCCTCGAACTCACAGTAATCCTCCTGCCTCAACCTTTCAAGTTGTGGGAATCACAGGCATGTGCCACCAGGCCTGGCTAGACACTACATTTTGCATACTGTATCATCTCCCTAATTTTCAGATCTCTTCAAAATTTGGCCTCATCCAATATATTTAACCTACTTCTTCATATTTTCTAATATATATGTCCATTCCAATAAGATCTATTTCCTTGACATTCCATTCTCTTAATGAATGAAATTATTTTTTAATCTTCTACTTATTTATTTGGTACAGCTTCTCACTATGCAGCTCAGACTCATAGTGATCCCTCTGTCTCAATCTCCCCTGCACTGGGATTACAGGCATGTACCAGCGCCACCATGCCCGGAGTTCCAGAGCTGGCACAGCATGCAGTATCGGGGATTGAACCTGGGTCGTTGTGCTTGCCAGGAAGACGCTTTAGACCGTCGAGCTATCTCCCCTCAGTGAATGAAATTATATCGATAGCTAATACCACATTGCTTCACATATCACCACTCAGTTTTAGCACCAGATTGCATCTTACAGTCTGCTGCTCCAATCTCATTTTACAGAGTAAAAAGCTCAATAACTTGCTCTAAATCACACACCATTAGTGGCAGAGATGGAATATAAAAAGAATCCATGTCTTTTAAAATAATTTGAAGGGGCCGGGGAGATGGCTCAGTGGAATAAGCGCTTCCCCGGCAAGCGCAAGGCCCTGAGTTCAATCCCCGGTTAAAAAAAAAAAAAAAAAAAAATACTTTGAACTGAACATTGTGGCACATGCCTGTAATCCCAGCACTTGGGAACCTGAGGCAGGAAGATCGTCGTGAGTTGAAGGCCAACCTGGACTACACAGCTAATCTGCTTTACATAGAGAAACTCTGGGAAAAAAAAAAAAAATTAAACCTTTAACTTTAAACCCCCATTTATCCTACACTAGGTCCTTCGACAAGCCCCGGGAGCCTTCATCACCACCAGCACTTCTAGTCTGCAGATGAAGAAATGTCAATTCAGAAAAGCAATGTGCTTTGCTCTAGCACTTGTCTTCTCTGAATAGAGCCTTCGGTTGTTCCACGAATATGTAGCAGGCAGCACATCCCAGGACGCCAGCGAGCGTGGCTTTTCCAGCCCAACGGAGCTCGCATGAAGCTGCACCTTTGCAGCTCAGTAAGTACACACGCATTCTCAGCCTGGGAAGCACAGCATCCGGGAAGATTTGCTTCAATTTTGGGACTGTATTTAAACCCAAATTTTCTGTCTCGCGACAACACACATACCTATAAAATATACAAAAGTGTCCTGCTATCAGTGTTTAGAGCAAGGTTATGAACGAGCAGTTGCCCGGCCCAGCGCGTTACATCTGCACCTTTAAAACTGGATTTCAATTCTGTCGTAAAACTCAGGGGCGGGGACAACCAACCACCGCAAGGACTCGCCTCCCGGGCAAGCAGGCGCGGAGGCTGAGGAAGCGAGCCTGGTTTCGTCTGGGGTTGACACGGGCTTCTCCGCGGCTCCTAGGTGGGCGAGGCCGGAGTCCCCCGGCTGGGGGGCTCGCACACGCGGGGCTCCAGGCTCTGCCCCACCCTCCCCGCTATTCGGCCGAGGCGCTGGGAACGCTTCGCCCCGCACAAAGATGGCGCCACGGCGGCCCGACCCAATGGGGAGCGGCGATGCTCCCGGTTGCCCAGGTAACAGCCAATGGGCAGCGGGAACTGTGCCCAGCGCGGCCGCCGGGATGGCGCCCGCCGGCGGGGCAGGAGGTCGCAGAGGGGACGGTCACCGAGGACGGCCACGCGGGCCCTAGGTCCT